CATAGCATGATACAAAGGCTGTTCCAAATAACATGTTTGACAATTTTATTGAACCGAAAAAAGATCTATCAACATTTTCTAATAATTAATTGCTGAATTAGGATACATGTAGTCGCATGTGGTATTCCATTATATTATTTTACTCATGATCACTCTCTTAATTTTGATTGGGTGAAAACATAGATTCTTTTAAATAGCTCTTGATGTCGAAAAGATTAATCTATTATGCAAAAAAAAAAAAAATAAATAAATAAATAAATTGCAGGTAATATATATTCATCCTGTCAGGTTCACTCAAGGGCAGACAGACAGACAGACTTACCTGGATGTGGTCATCAAAATCTAGAAAGCTTGATCTGAAGGTATCAAAAAATTAATAGGCAAAATTAACAACTGATAAGTAACGCAAAAATATGTGTGTAGTGATAGATATCTACATTATTTGTAGCCCGGAAAAAAACCCCTCTCTGCTGATCTAAATCTGGGCATTGATATCTCACAGATCTTGTTCGTGTTTTTGGAGTGGAGTGAGCTTACACATTTAAAAACCTAATAAAACAAGCTATACTTCTGTGGACTAGAATACTAAAAGTTATATAAAAGTTAATTGATAGTGCATCATCTTTTTTTTTTTTCACAATAAAACGAATGTGTCATACAGGCAAAAAGTATGCATGTGCAGTCTGGCAGTTATTGAATACTTACACACTCATATTGCTAGCCTCTCTCCTTATTGGGATTGTAGGTCTGCCATCTTGGGGTCTCTTGTGTTGTACAGTTGAGCTGAATATTCTGAGCACTAAGAGAGATCAGAACTGTCATTACTGAATAGCATGATTTATGTGTAGTGCTATCCCTCTTCAAAGCATGTGTGATTTCTTTTGAGAATAAGATTCTTTGTAAAGGGAATGGAAAGTATTGAAAAGTGGGAAAATATCCATGTATCTTTTCTCAAAAAACAAGAAAAGAAAGAAATGATATTACAAGGAATGGCGCATGGTCTGGAGTGTGAAAACATTAGGTACAGGCCTAAATGATGCATTATCCTAAAGATAATAACAGAATGCAATCAAGTATAATTGAATGTCATTATTCTAACTGAAGCTCAATATTAGTTTTTTTTACTTATTTTTCTTTTCCTTTCTCTCTTTGATTTCGATTTTAAATAAATATTTGTATGGATGTATGGCGTTGTTATTTAAGTTTATTTTATTTTTAAAAATAAAAATTCAATAACATAAAAAATAAAGAATAAAGAAATAGAAGAAGGCCCAAGCTAAAAAGSTTTATTTATTGGGGTGCAACCACGTGACTGAATATCTTGTGTAATGAGATCTTGATACACTAACTAACAATGAAACAGCCACCAGGTTGGTTGATCTAACTAGAGAATGTAATGAGAGATGCTTTGTTATCATCAACCAAGATGGCAGCTATGACATAACATGAACTTTAACAATAACGAACACACCGTAATCTTCTGATTCGCGAAGGCAATCGATCATTTGAAAACATTCGAATAAGAATAAGACTTTGAACAGGATTCTGGTGGTCATGGAATCAAGCCGTGATGATGGGAAAAGAGAATTTGAAGCATGGGTAAAGTATCTTGTGTGGGTGCTAC